CTGGGGGGTGGCCTGGCTGCCCATCCACCCCGGGCGCTGCCTTTGCATGCCGAGCACGCGAGCGCTGGCCGTAAAAGCCTTTTGACATTGGATAAAGCCAGGCAAGAAAATTGATGTTCTTTTCTATCCTGTTAGCGGGGGCTTAGTTCCAGCGGGGAGAAAATGGTGATTAAAAGGGTCGAATCCTTTCCCGTCCAACCCCCCCACACACACACCTCGGACGCTGGGTGTTGGTGGGGGGGTGGCACTGGGTGCCCCAGGGAGGGGTGGGTGGGATGGGGGTCCCACACTGCTCTGGGGGCGCCCTGTACCTGGGAGGGTGAAGCTTTTCCCTGCACCAGGGTTGGGTCTCTGTGCCATCTGCTGTGCATGGGGTGAAGAGTTTTGGGGTGCAGGGAGAGGCTGTGGGTGGGGACCCCCATTGCCACTGAGCTGTGGGTGATCTGGGGACATGGCAGAACCAGGCATGGGGGGGGCAAGGTTAGGATGACCACAGGGCTGTGACAAGCTCACCTCCCCCCCCTCCAGCTTCGATCTCATTAGCCGGGGTCCCCATCGGTCCAGGGTTGCCATGGCAACCCCCGTCAGCATCGACAGGGCCTTGGCGTTGCCACAGGGACAGGCAATGCCTCCAGGCCCCGATTAATTGGCGATGGAGGCAGGGACCGGATTGAACCTGCCCCGGTGCGGGGGTGCGGGTCCTGGCAGCCTCCCCTGCCCCAGGGGAATTACTGCAAGGATAATTAATTGCTGTGCCTGCCCGGCACCCTTGGGTGCAGGCACAGGGTGCCGGGAGGGTGCTCGTGGCTACTGGCCCCCTATCCTTTCTTGCCCCCCTGAGCCCAGGAGGGAGCGGGACCCCAGGCACTGTGGGCAGGGGGGCTGTCCTCGCCATCCAGGCCCTGCCCTGCCCTGCCCTGCCAGCTCAGCTGCCTGTCCTTGTCATTCGGCCAAACAGCGAGGATTTAGCTCTTTTTTTCCCCTTTTTTTTCCCTTTTTAATCCCCTGCTCAATCCCTGCCCTCCCCCAGCATCTCTGGGCACCAGCCTTCGCCTGCAGCCGGTCCCCAGTGTCCTCGTCCCCGGGGGGATTCGTGGGGCCTTCCCACCCACTTGCTGCTTTGCCGGTCCCTCCGTGCGGGTCCGGCGGTGGCTGGCACCCCGTTTCTCATGAGGGGGCTGGGGTTTTCACAGCCTCTGTCCTGCTGTCCCTGCAGGGGGGATGTAAGGACCCAAAAATCCACCCTGCCTGCAGGGATGCCCCGGGGACAGCCCTGTCCCGGTGATCCGGGGGCAATGAGGAGGGGGTGACGGGTTAGTGCCAGAGCGGGGAGCAGCCGCCCTCGCCCCCCCCCGCGCCGGCCGGCGGATGGGAAGGTTTCCTGCGGCCGTCTCCAAGCAACGGCCATTAGTGCTCTATTAACGAGGGATGGGATGCGGGGATGCAGGATGCCTCGCTCAGCTCCAGTCGGAGATCCCTGCCTGCCCCCAGCCCCGGGGACCCCCCCCCGTGCCCGCCAGTTGGGAAGCCGTGGGGTCTTTCCAGGATGGATGCATCCAGCGCTTTGCAGGAGGATGCTGAGCTGGGTGCCCAGAGGGGGGATGCAGGGACCTGCCTTCCCCTTTTCCTGGCCAAAACCACTAAGGTTTGGTTCAAAAGCCCCCACCGCAGCTGGGGGGGACACACAGGCTGCCTGCTCCCCTCTCCATCCCTGGCCCCAGCCAGCGCAGAGCCGTGGAGCTTCCCAGCAGGATTAAACCAGAGCTTGGGAAACCCCAGCTTGGCCCCCAGCCCTCTCCCCTGCCGCAGTGGCTCTCTGCCCTTGCAGAGGGGGGATCTGGGGGTGTCCCCCCCTGGGGCAGGGTGCCGACAGCGGGGGGGTATCACCGGCTGGGGGGTTGGCTGGCTGCCCATCCACCCCGGGCGCTGCCTTTGCATGCCGAGCACGCGAGCGCTGGCCGTAAAAGCCTTTTGACATTGGATAAAGCCAGGCAAGAAAATTGATGTTCTTTTCTATCCTGTTAGCGGGGGCTTAGTTCCAGCGGGGAGAAAATGGTGATTAAAAGGGTCGAATCCTTTCCCGTCCAACCCCCCCACACACACACCTCGGACGCTGGGTGTTGGTGGGGGGGTGGCACTGGGTGCCCCAGGGAGGGGTGGGTGGGATGGGGGTCCCACACTGCTCTGGGGGCGCCCTGTACCTGGGAGGGTGAAGCTTTTCCCTGCACCAGGGTTGGGTCTCTGTGCCATCTGCTGTGCATGGGGTGAAGAGTTTTGGGGTGCAGGGAGAGGCTGTGGGTGGGGACCCCCATTGCCACTGAGCTGTGGGTGATCTGGGGACATGGCAGAACCAGGCATGGGGGGGGCAAGGTTAGGCCAGGAGATTTGGGGGTGCAATGGGAGAGGCTGGGGGGGATCTTTGGCAGATGGTGATGGGGCTGTCCCTGCCAGAGGGGGTGAACCTCACTGTGTCCCCTCCGCCCTGTCCCGGGGGTTCTCCTGCCGCAGGTGAGCCGGGTGCTGCGCCCCGGGGGCTGCTTCATCTCCATCACCTTCGCCCAGCCCCACTTCCGCAAGCCCCACTACGCCCAGGAGGCCTTCGGCTGGTCCCCGCGCCACG